GCTGCTGCTGCTGCTGCTACTCCTGTTACTGCAAAAGGCAAGCACTTGTGCTGTCAACCATATCGTCGTTAGCACCCACCCCGGGACCCCGCACCCCCCCCACCCCCCATCCCCCCGTCCAAAACGCCCGAAAGCAAGGTTGGCACCGGGACTCTACTGCTGCTGCTGCTCCTGCTGCAGGCACTGCCGTGATTCTTGATATTCTTGCTGTTACTGCAGAAGGCAAGCACTTGTGCTGTGCAAACGCCCGAAAGCAAGGTTAACACCAGGACTCTACTGCTGCTGCTGCTCCTGCTGCGGCGACTGCCGTGATTAGTGCTGTTACTGCAAAAGGCAAGCACCTGTGCTGTCAACCATATCGTTATTAGCCCCCACCCCCCCCCGTACCCCCGAAAAACCCCCGAAAGCAAGGTTAACGCCAGGCGCCTGGAGGCGCGCTTAGCTNNACTACTACTACTACTACTACAAAAAGAAGAATCATAATGAATAACCAGAATAGGAATAATCAAATAATATTAGTTCCTCTTCTGGCTTCTGAGGTCCGTTCTCCGAGCTCCCGGCTCGCCGCAGCTTGAAACGTTCGCATTCCAAGCCTGCGACGTCCCATACTATGCCACATAATACCTACATAAATACGTTAACAATAATAACAATAATAATAACAATACTAATGAATTTTATTCTCATATAATATTTACTTATTTATTTATTTCTATTTATTTATTTATCATATATATATATGTATATATGTTATATAAGCTGCATTAGTACATTGTATTACAATTATATCATGATATGCTGTCTATCTAAACTCCACCAGTCTGTAAGGATTCCAAAAACGCCCCTCCCAGGTGGCCTGCTGCATCCTTTCCTTCAGCTGCTTCCGAATGTTCTCCTCAGGAAAGGCTCGTCTTGCCTCTGCGCACCCGTGGTATAAACCTCGCATGCGTAACCCTCAGATTTGCCGCTTAGGGTTATCAAACTATGGATATACTGTTGCTATTCTCATAGTTAGTCTTATTGCAAAAACTACTATTATTATTATCATTTATTTATTGCTATTCAGGGCCTTACAAACACCCTTGTAGAAAGCTTTACAGCCCTTGCCAGCTCTGAGGGCTGGGCCGCCTTCTCCAATGCCGAGTGGCTGAGGCCGTTTTCGGCGGCATAGGCCTGGCGTCGGATTGGGTTCAGAGTTTAGGGGTTCCGGGGTTTAGGGAGTTTAGGGTTTTTGGGGCTTTTGGGGGTTTAGGGTTTAGGGGTTTAGGCTTTTGGGCTTGGGGATTTAGGTTTTAGGGGTTTAGGTTTTAGGGACAAAGGACTCCGAGAAATCCCTCTTATGATGCACTCAGCAAGATCCCCTGTAGCCAAAACCCGTCCTTCGGCTTCTTCTGCTTTCGCCAATTTCGGAAAGCTGAGAGAAGTGAAAGGTGATCCCCATCCTTGCGCGGCCAGCACTCTCCCGGCAAAGGTTTCAAGAACTCCGGAAGCATGTCATTCCCAGAGACGCCCGATGGATCCCGAGTGCGTCTCCTGGTGCTGGTACGGCTTTGCCTGCTGGGCACTGCCTGAGCTCGGACCATGTGCTGATTGAACCCATACGTGCTGACAAACACTGTCAACCACTGATGGTAGCGGTCGTGGTCTTCGCGATAGTCGCAGCGTCGCAGCAGTCATCGTGGTGGTGGCGGCGGCGGTGGTCGTAGCGGTGCTAGTCGGCAGGAGGTACGGTTACGAGTAGGTATAGGGAGCAGCGAGCCCTGAGTGTGTGGCCTCGCTTCCTGGAGGTGGTGAAGATTGGCGCGTCTGCCGACAGCATTGCAACGATGCCTTGCAGAAGAAAGCCGGTCACGACACAGGATCTTGCGCCAGGCTGGACTGAACTTCTCCATGTGAACGGCTCTCAGCTTTCGGCTCAAGATTTCTGCTGCGCATTCAAACTCGAGGGAAACATGGAGACAGTAGGCGTACCTGCAGATTGACATGTCATTGAAACATGCCTGAGAGACAAGTCCTCAAGAGGATCAGAGCACGATGGATGTACAGGCATCGCCGCGAGCTTTCTCCCAAGGTCAGTCAAGGCCTCGGCTCGCCGAGCATCTGGCAGAGGGAGGTCTGAAGAGGAAGGTGGGGACATGGTACAAAGAAAGCCCTCTGCCACCCACCCCCCTCCATCAAAGGCTCCTGCATCCCTAAACCCTAAACCCTAAACCCTAAACCATCAAAGGCTCCGGCATCTCTCGTGTCAAGAGCACCGATCCGACAGAGGAAATGGGCGGCCTTCTCTATGGCTTCTCGGGGTGGCCGGTCGACCTCCGGGTCGGTTTAGGGGTTTAGGGTTTAGGGGTTTAGGGGTCTCAAGTGAGCGCCAACAGTTGAGGATGCTCTGAGAGTGGCGCCAGAGGAAAGCTGGCGATCTTCGAGATTCCAAGAGCCTCCAACCATCTTCAAGAAGGCTGGCCCTAAACCCATAAACCCCTAAATGGACTGATGTGACTGAAAAGAATCAAGGCGTTGGCACCTTCAAGTTGATGTAGACCGACGCCATCTCCAGGCGCAAGATCTCAGCCGGCGTTTGCACCGGCATCTTGTGGTAGTCCGACCTCCACATCTGAAGACCGACTCTCGACATCTTTCGTGATGCTCCGTTTCCTTCCGAATTTTGAGGCCAGGGCTCAACGTAGAGGCGGAAAACCTCCCCAGGGGCCTCCCGACCTGCAAAGATTCTGCACTGAGCCTGGGTCCAACCCAAAAAGTGTAGAAGTTCTGCTGGCCTGCCCGGCCCGCCCTCTGAATGGCTGACGCCTGTGATGTCTCCACCGTCCTGCGACTGCGATGATGTGGCCGTCGTGAACCGGCGAAGCCATGGCCCATGTCTCTAATGCTACTCCTACGTTCGCCTCAACATCTCGATGCCGGTCTGCGGGTGGCACATCTTCAGCTTCATGATACCAGTGTCCTGCCCCGGCACCCACTCGTGTTCACAGACCTCGCCGCCGTGCCCGATACTGTATGACTTGCAAACCAGTGTCCACGACAAAGCGGATGCCCGGGATGGTGATCGAGGTCTCCGCAATGTTCGTGGCCAGCACTACCTTTCGGTACCTCATTCCAGCATTCTTCTGAGTTGGTTCTATTCTCCACTGCATAAAAAACACCAGGACGGTACCCAGGTGGAGTCGCTTCGAACACCAAGGCCTTCCGCAAATCAGTGCACTGACGACGACAATGCTTTGCATAATGCTCAGCCTATGCGACCCCTGTTAGCAACACGAGGCGTTGTCTGAACTGCCTGTTGCTCGAAGGGCAGCGCTGCGTAGATTGGCCTGATGACCATGTTCGGCACCTGGCGAGTAATTTTTCGTTGCACTAACGAACCTGCATCCTGCTGCTTCAGTCCGACAAGAACAGCTCGCTGAAGTTTGTGACGCAGCGAAACCCAGTTACAAAACAAACCTGGAAAGACGTGTCGGCTGACGTTCTCGAAGGTTGGCCAATCGTGCGAACTGACAGCAACCGGCTGGCCACCTTCAAAGCATGACTGCTCCTAGTTCCGAGGTCCTTGGGCAGGGCAACGTCTAAGAATCACCATTCATGCCTGCCCGTTCCAGAACACCCTTTTCCGGATGATCTTGCCTTTCAGGGGCTCGGCGAGGCATCCCAAAGTGACTTTTTCATTTAAAATATAATATAATATAATATATTATATAGTTGAATATAATATAATACAAACATAACATAATATAACATACCATCACATAACATGATATAATATAATATTTTCATTCAGGGGGGAAGGGCCTCTGCTTTGCCAAAATCTCCTGCTTCTCCTCAAGGAGCTGCTGAAGGCCCTCGATCTCCTCTTGACCGGGCCTAGAAAGATCAGAGGCAAAGCAGAAAAAAACATATTATACTACATTATATTATATTGTATTGTATTATATTGTATTATATTATGATTATATTATATTATTATATTGTATTGTAATATATTATATTATGATTATATTATATTATATTATTTTGTATTGTATTATATTATATTATGATGATATTATAGTATATTATATTGTATTCTATTATATTATAGTATAGTATATCATATTA